GGACTGTGGGGGAAACCAGAGCACCCTGAGGAAACCCACGCGAACGCAGGGAGAACATCCAAACTCCACACAGAAACTTTAACTGACCTAGCCAAGGGCTCAAACCAGCGCCCTTCTTGCTGTGAGATATATATTTTTAAATTAAATCTCATATTTTTCAATACTCTGCATTCACAGAACTCCCATTTGAGCAACGAAATTTTTACTACAGCCAAGTGTTGTTCTAAAATCTGTACCAAACTAAGACAGAAACCAGCGTTTGTTTCTTAAAGGACACAAAAGGCATTAATATATAAAACATGAGGTTCATACAGATGCGAATTAATAAAGGTATAACGGAGAGAGTGTATGTTTGTATAAGAGAACACACTCATTTCATCTCACAGCTCTGCTGAGTCGACTCGTCTCTTTGTCACTACGTTGCAGCTGCTCTCATCAGCACAAATCCACACACACACACACATGCACATGCAGACATTTTACACACAACTACATTTGACACACACACACACACACACACACACACACACACACACACACACACACACACAGAACGAGAGGTTAAGAGATACACACATCACACACACATTCAGTAGGCTAAACTATGTGCTGACTGCAGTCTATGCTCCACCATTGTTTCACGACGAGACCTGGGCCCGAGGTTACACGTTGTATTTACATTTTACAAGTAAAACATATTTCAGCTTTCAAAGGTTTTTTAATTACATCTGAAACATACTAGAAGTTCGGGTGTCCAAAAATAGTTTTAATTTAACTCCTAAGCCATTTAATATTGATTGTTGAAGCTGCTGAAATGTTTAATGTTTATAGACTTTTTTAGGCCTACCGAATTGTAGGTACGTCTATGCTTTGACATAAGCTGTAATGCAACCCCATAGTTATTAGACATTTAAATGATGTATTTTATTTGCTTTATCACTTTGGCATTGCAATGTTTTGCCATTTATCGTACAGAAAAACTCATGTATGTTGCTGAATTTTTCAGATATAATCTTGAAAACATGTCAACAGCAACTTAAATATCACACTTTTACACTATAGAATTAATTGTTGTACATTAGTCAAGGATAACTGGAGTAAATGTTACTTTACATTACATTTTACATTACATTACTATTACAAAACTACTATTTTAGTTTGACTACTTTAGAAAGTGTTGCTTGTCTTTTTTGTTTTGATAATTTATGAGTAAAACATTTTCAACATCACATTTTTCCTACAGTGTGTGAAGAAATTATTATAAGAAGCAATATTTATTATATTCTACATTGTAAAAAAAAAAAAACTATTAACAGCTTGACTGAGTTTTCTGAGTTTTGACTTGAGTTTTCAGTTCGAACTAAACTGGATTTCTGCTTCAACTGTTCACTCAGTTAAACAACGTTACTTTCATTGACATTTTTTATAAAAACAGATTGTTTCAAACTACAAAAAACAAACAAACAATGAAACTAACACGTTAAGCTATATTTTAGTCAAAGTCAAAGTCAGCTTTATTGTCACACCACACCAACAAACAATGAAACTAACATGTTAAGCTATTCTTTAAGCATCAACAGCTTAAATAAACTGAAGCCATGAAAATCCCAAGCCACAGGCAACTGCAAATCAACGTACTAGATGTCTTACAGTTTATTTAATGCTGATTTGAGAATAATTTAAAGAACTGTTTTTGCAATAATCAGCAAGACAATGTTCTCAAAAAATTACCTCTAAACATCAACTAATATAATGTGATGTAAATGACGATTTAATGGACTGATTTTACAATTTACTGAGTAAAATATTCTCAATTTTACAATATACTGGCAAGTTTTAACTAAAACTGTCTCTGAACTTTTCAGTATACTTACTAAACACAAAGTAAAAATTCACTGTAGATTTCTTTATTTATTCATTAATTCATTAATTTATTTATTCATTCATTTTTCTTCAGCTTAGTCCCTTATTTTTGAATTTTTTTATTCATTCATTTTCTTTTTGGCTTAGTAACTTTATTTATCAGGGGTCACTACTGTGAAATGAACCATAGTTTTCTTTAATATGAGGTAATTGTTAATTATATCTATGTTCTCAGTGAATCACAACTGAGTTTAGCAACTAAAATGTTTAGCTGTTTGTGATCTGCACAATGATTTAATGGGCTGATGTTGTAAGAAATTCATTCATTCATTCATTCATTCATTCATTTTCTTTTTGGCTTAGTAACTTTATTAATCAGGGGTCACTACTGTGAAATGAACCACCATAGTTTTTTTAATATGAGGTAATTGTTAATTATATCTATGTTCTCAGTTAATCACAACTGAGTTTAGCAACTAAAATGTTTAGATGTTTGTGATCTGCACAATGATTTAATGGACTGATGTTGTAAGAAATTCATTCATTCATTCATTCATTCATTCATTCATTCATTCATTCATTTTCTTTTTGGCTTAGTAACTTTATTAATCAGGGGTCACTACTGTGAAATGAACCACCATAGTTTTTTTAATATGAGGTAATTTTTAATTATATCTATGTTCTCAGTTAATCACAACTGAGTTTAGCAACTAAAATGTTTATAAGTTTGTGATCTGCACAATGATTTAATGGACTGATGTTGTAAGAAATTCATTCATTCATTCATTCATTCATTCATTCATTCATTCATTCATTCATTTTCTTTTTGGCTTAGTAACTTTATTAATCAGGGGTCACTACTTTGAAATGAACCACCATAGTTTTTTTAATATGAGGTAATTTTTAAATATATCTATGTTCTCAGTGAATCACAACTGAGTTTAGCAACTAAAATGTTTAGATGTTTGTGATCTGCACAATGATTTAATGGACTGATGTTGTAAGAAATTAATTAATTAATTCATTCATTCATTCATTCATTTTCTTTTTGGCTTAGTAACTTTATTAATCAGGGGTCACTACTGTGAAATGAACCACCATAGTTTTTTTAATATGAGGTAATTGTTAATTATATCTATGTTCTCAGTTAATCACAACTGAGTTTAGCAACTAAAATGTTTAGAAGTTTGTGATCTGCACAATGATTTAATGGACTGATGTTGTAAGAAATTCATTCATTCATTCATTCATTCATTCATTCATTCATTCATTTTCTTTTTGGCTTAGTAACTTTATTAATCAGGGGTCACTACTTTGAAATGAACCACCATAGTTTTTTTAATATGAGGTAATTGTTAATTATATCTATGTTCTCAGTTAATCACAACTGAGTTTAGCAACTAAAATGTTTAGAAGTTTGTGATCTTCACAATGATTTAATGGACTGATGTTGTAAGAAATTCATTCATTCATTCATTCATTCATTCATTTTCTTTTTGGCTTAGTAACTTTATTAATCAGGGGTCACTACTGTGAAATGAACCATAGTTTTCTTTAATATGAGGTAATTTTTAAATATATCTATGTTCTCAGTGAATCACAACTGAGTTTAGCAACTAAAATGTTTAGATGTTTGTGATCTGCACAATGATTTAATGGACTGATGTTGTAAGAAATTAATTAATTCATTCATTCATTCATTCATTCATTTTCTTTTTGGCTTAGTAACTTTATTAATCAGGGGTCACTACTGTGAAATGAACCACCATAGTTTTTTTTTAATATGAGGTAATTTTTAAATATATCTATGTTCTCAGTTAATCACAACTGAGTTTAGCAACTAAAATGTTTATAAGTTTGTGATCTTCACAATGATTTAATGGACTGATGTTGTAAGAAATTCATTCATTCATTCATTCATTCATTTTCTTTTTGGCTTAGTAACTTTATTAATCAGGGGTCACTACTGTGAAATGAACCACCATAGTTTTTTTAATATGAGGTAATTGTTAATTATATCTATGTTCTCAGTTAATCACAACTGAGTTTAGCAACTAAAATGTTTAGATGTTTGTGATCTGCACAATGATTTAATGGACTGATGTTGTAAGAAATTCATTCATTCATTCATTCATTCATTCATTCATTCATTCATTCATTTTCTTTTTGGCTTAGTAACTTTATTAATCAGGGGTCACTACTATGAAATGAACCACCATAGTTTTCTTTAATATGAGGTAATTGTTAATTATATCTATGTTCTCAGTTAATCACAACTGAGTTTAGCAACTAAAATGTTTAGAAGTTTGTGATCTGCACAATGATTTAATGGACTGATGTTGTAAGAAACACTTAAGAAAACGTTACTGTCCATTCCTTTGTGATTAGATGTAAAATTAACTGTCTGAGTAATTTTGTCAGTTTGTTTAGTTTTTTTTTTTTTTTTACTTTAGTTTAAATGTCTAATATTCTCAACATATCACCTCTAAACAGATGTATTATAAAGAAGTCAAATTCTCCATTAAATTGTGATTTTTTTGGACTAATGTTGCCATGCATTAAACAAAAAAAGTGCTTCTTTATTTTAAAAATGATATGATCAATAATTCATGACATTATATGTTTGTATGTTAATTATAATTATGTTTAGGTTAATTATGTTTTAAGTTAATTTCTTTTAAATGATACCAGCTGTTTTAAGTCAGATGAATATAATTTGAGCTAAAGTTAATTTGATTCAACTTAAAAATATAAGTTAAAATGTAACTTTTTTACAGTTTTTTCCATTTCACTGGAAATAGCATCAAGATTTACAAGCAATTGATGTTTCAAAAAGAACTAAATGAAAGCCATGGAAAGTTAAAATATGAGTTTAATGCTTTGTCCAAGTCAGTCTATTTCCAAATACCATCGCTAAACTCTGTTTTAAATAATTTTTATCTAATTCGTATAAATTTGCACGGCTAGTGTGAAAGCGAAGTGGTCTGGCTGTGGTGGGTTTTTACATTATGAAGAGCATGAAGAGCGGAGGAAAGAAAGGACTTTAGCTCGGGTCAGAAACAAAAGGCCCTGAAAGCAAACTGCTGACAGAGTCCGGCCGTCAGTATAAAAGCCCCTCGGATGCCGGAGCAGGAGACCGCGTGGTGGATCCAGATCATTCAGTTGGGTAAGTCTGGTCAAACCTGTGCCTCTGACCACTTTACACACTCCAGAGTGAGCATTACAAACACACCAACTGCACTCCTGATGTTTACATCAGAGATTTGAGAATATAACAATATAACGAGTGAGTTGATCCAGCAGTGATGTGTATTTTACATGATGTGATGAGTGGTTTACATGTTATATTACCTTTGACAAGCATCTGTGCTGTTTTTTACATGAGAATATTTTAGTTAGAGTTCAGATGTATAAAAACTGATGTTCAGTAGTTTTGTGAACTCCCTTCTGAAATGATGTCCTTCCTGCAGGTCAGTCAGCGCTGAGATTTCTGAAAAAATATGGCTCTGACAAACCCTATGTCAATGCCCATGGGACCATGGAAGGTATGGTTATTTCATTCATTTTTAATTTTGTCTGAATTCATGTTTTTTATTATAAAACATAATGGAATGTTCTCTTTACATAATATAAAAACAATATAAATACAAAAAAACTACATAAATATAGTTAATTAAATAATTAAAATAGACATTTATTTATTTACATATAACAGTGACTGTTGCTTTAGTATTAGGTAATTATTGTAGTTTTAATAATAGTTTGAGTAATTAATTTAGCTTTATTTCATTTTATTTTAAAATGCTACATTTTTTTCCTATAGATTTAAAAGTAAATTTTTATCTATCTTATTTTATTTTATTTTATTTTATTTTATTTTATTTTATTTTATTTTATTTTATTTTATTTTATTTTATTTTATTTAACAAATATTTTCAGTGTTATGGTTTTTGTTTTAGTTTTATTATAACCCTGGATATTGTGCAACATCTTCTGTAAAGAAATGTTGGGTTCCATACTATTCCTTCATGTTGTCCCAACACAAATCGGTTAAGTTAGCGTAATTATTCTAACAAATTTAAATGGACTGAACATTAAACAATTAAGTTGTGCCAAAAAGAGTCGTTTCAACTTATTTTTAATAAGTATAGTTTGAACAAGAAGCAAAAGTCATTTTTTGAGTGTGCGTATAATATAATTACTGGGAATATAAATCAAAAATATTTACTAAAAGCAATACATAATCAATCCTAAATGTAGCATATTACAATCTATGCGTAATAATAATACGAATAATAATAGTAATTTTATTGTTTTATTTTCATGGTCATTTTATGCATTATACTGATATTTATGCACTATCCCTAAATTGCATTTAGTTTTTTACTATAGTTTTAATGTTTTTTGAATGAAAATTCTGTCAATTAGTTTCCTCTTCTCCCGTTTTATTTTTTAATCATGCTAGTTTAATATAATGTTGTTGTTTTTTCTCAGAATCACTGATTTTTGAATATCAGGGTTTATGAGTATCCTATTTATTAGAAAATTCAATAAATAGCGCTTAAAAAATAATGATGATGATAAATAATATTATAATATAATCTAAATTTCATGACCAAATAAAAAATATTTTGACCAATAAATATCCTCAAGTTCAGTCATTGTCTTTCTATATTTGCATAAATTTATTTACCTGTGTGTCTCTGTTTTCCCCCAGATCACCGTTTATGACCAGGAGCATTTCCAGGGCAGGCGTTGTGAATTCACCGCCTGCTGCCAGAACATTATGGAGTACGGCATGGAGACCGTTCGCTCCCTGAAAGTGGAGTGTGGCGCGTGAGTAAAAACAATATTTGGTTAAATAAATACATTTCATCCTTAAAGGGCTAGTTCACCCAAAAGTGAAAATGTCCTCATCATTTCCTCACACTCAAGAATATAACTTTTCTGAATTCTTCTCTTCCATCTAACACAAAAGAAGATATTTTGAAGAATGTTAAAAAGCAGCAACCTTCCTAATTCTGTTAAACACAAAAGAAGATATTTTGAAGAATGTAGTTCCATAGTTGGAACACCAAACAGAAAAAACTATATAAGTCAATGGCCGCTGCTGTGCAACATTCTTCAAAACATCTTCTCTTTTGACCCAAAAAAGGACAATCCTGTCATCATTTGCGTAAAAATGCTGAAACCTGTAACCATTGACTTCCATAGTATTTGATTTTCCTACTGTGGAAGTTGATGGTTACTGGTTTCAGCATTTTTCAAAGATATTCTTTTGTGTTCTGCTGAAAGAAACAAACTCATCAAGGTTTGAAACAAGTAACATTTTTCTAAATATATTCTTGTTCGTTCAATATGTGTTCCATATGTAACCACCTGAGAGTGAGGAAATAGTGAGTTAATTTAGATTTTTGGGTGAATTTTCCCTTTAAATAGCTTTGAAATTGGTAATAAGTTATGTAAGTAAATGATGACAGAGTTTTCATTCTTTTGAGTAAACTATCGCTCAATCTCATGAGCTCACCTCTTGTTTTGGCTGTAGTTGGGTTGGTTTTGAGCACTCCACCTTTAACGGGCAGCAGTTTATCCTGGAGAAGGGAGATTATCCATGCTGGGAGGCCTGGAGCGGCAACAACGCCTATCGCATCGAGAGACTCATTTCCTTCCGGCCCATTTATTCTGCTGTGAGTGAGAGCATCTGCAACACACACAAACAAAAAAGGGTTGAGCTTATTTTCTTAATGAGTTATAGGTGTGTTTTGAGAAAAAAAACAATCAGAGTATCATCTCCCTTTACCTTTAAGAGAAAGTTGGGTTATGCCATTCGCATTTGCTATTTACATGACAGACTTTGTAATTGAAAAAAACTGAGCGTTTCACTAGGAATATAACAGTTAAACACAGCATCTGCAGCGCGAGAATGAGTGATAACGCCTCTCATTATCTACTTTCACTTTTGTGGATAGGGAAACCTTGTACGCACAGACATCAATTGGCCTATAAATAATTAACTTTGGCGCAAAGATTTGTTTCAAAACTGTTTCTAAATTCAGTTCTAATTTCCAGCAAAGGAATAAATGAACAATAATAATGAAGTGTGATCAAAAAACTGAGTTATATCCAAATACACATGTTGTACCCCATATGGTCTAAAACCTGACAGGTGGACAAATCTAAGCTTGCTTTTATTAAAACAAATATAAATATGGATATAATAAATAATACTGCTAATAATGATAACATTATACAATAGCAAATTGAATGAACTGAAAAAGCCCCGGAGATGAAGAAGGCATAAAAGTATGGTTTTTATATTTAAGTAGGCTAGAAAATAATGTTTTGTAATATTTTAATTTTTTATATGTACAGTTGAAGTCAGAATTATTAGCCCCCCTAAATTATTAGTGCCCCTGTTTATTTTTTCCCCCAATTTGTGTTTAATGGAGGGAAGATTTTTTTCAACACATTTCTAAGCATAATAGTTTTAAAAACCTATTTCTAATAACTGATTTTTTTTTTTCTTCACCATGATGACAGTACATAATATTTTACTAGATATTTTTCAAGACACTTCTATAAAGCTTAAAGTGACATTTAAAGGCTTAACTAGGTTAATAAGGTGAACTAGGCAGGTTAGGGTAATTAGGCAAGTTATTCTATAATGATGGTTTGTTCTGTAGACTATCGAAAAAAAAAATAGCTTAAAGGGGCTAATAATTTTGTCCCAAAAATGTTTTTTAAAAAATTAAAAACTGCTTTTATTCTAGCCAAAATAAAACAAATAAGACTTTCTCCAGAAGAAAATATATTATCAGACATACTGTAAAAATTTCCTTGCTCTGTTAAACATCATTTGGGAAATATTTAAAAAAGAAAGAAAAAATCAAAAGGGGGCTGATAATTCTGACTTCAACTGTATATCCTGTATATATCCTTATTATATCCTATATATATATATCCTTAAGATTTTAATTCTTTTTCATAAGTAAAGATATTTGCGTATTGCTCTACATCTTGTGCGTATTAAGCAGTGTGTAAGCGAGGCGAACAACTAACACGCTCTGCACTGGACAATAGACCGGCTTTGTTCTGGTCTATTGAAAAATCTATTATAGATTCTCAAAATAGCAGCCCGCCAGCAATACACCTCAACACGCCTCCCTTTTTAGACCAAAACGCCTATGGGCGCACATATGAACGCAAATGCATTTGCTATTTAAACAACCTGGCGCAAAACGTCAAAACGACTCTTGAGCCAAGCTGAAGCTAGCGAACAACAATTGCACTGCGCCTTGCGCCACATTGTGTCGGGTGTATGATAGGGCCCTAAGTTATGATTGAAATGCCTTTTGTTACAGTTATGAAGTAGTTTTATAACAAGCAGGAAATGTTCATGGTCCAATAACACGACCTCATTGAAATGGTCTATTCTCATAGATTAAATTTCATGTGGTTATGTTTGTGCTTTTCCAGTTGCACTGGAGGTTTTTACTACTCGACATTAATTGGCTTTAATGGACATTAATTTCCTTAATTGGCAACAGTCCACACCATTCAATCATGTTAAAACTCACAACACTTTTAACCAAATTCTTGCATACCATCTCTAGAATATCTTGACACCAAATTGCTTTAACCTCCTGATGAGATATAATCTCTGCATTGCTTTATTAAAACTGCACTCAACATTTCCAGCAAATGTCAATCCACTATCAATAAATGTATTATAAATATATTTTACTTTGTATAATTAATACTTGATACTGTATTCTGTTTGAGTTTTTATGTTCACTTCTATTCATTTGATACCCCAGTTTCAAGTGACTGCAGGGGAGGGGGGTGGGGGTATATGAATTGATATATTTCATTATATAGTTTTTTCAGCCTGTACGCATTGTTAACTATTAATTTTAAAAAAAATTGTAAAAATTAAAAAATAAATAAATAAATAAAAAGTTTAAAATAAATATATTATAAACATATTAATAATATTAATGAATTACATTTATTTTTTAAAAGACGTAGAATTAAAATAAATTATAAGTATGAATTAAATTTTAATAAAGCAAAAATAAAAAGCAAATTTTTAGAAATATTTATAAATAAAATATAGGTGTATATTAAAAATATAGGTATTGTCTGAATAGCCTGCTTCTCCTTTGAACTTTTATTTTCCGGACTTTAATAAAAGACTATGCCATAAAAGGATGATTCTGTCTATTTCCATGTGCAGGTTGACTGATTTCAATTCAAAATCTTGTCAGACATTAAAAATTTCATTATTTAAAAAAGTTCCAAGCCATCAACTGAAAGGGAACTAATTTTGCTCAACAGTGCATTCATCAAGCTGACTGTGTGTCTTCTTTCTGAAACAGATGCACAGCGACTCCCGCATGATGCTTTTCGACTGTGAGAACATGACTGGAAAGCAGTGGGAGGTGTGCAATGACTACCCTTCCCTGCAGGGTATGGGATGGTGCAACAACGAGGTCCGTTCCATCCAGGTCATGAGTGGCGCGTAAGTATGATTGCCCATATATCTATTTTATTTAAGACAAATGAAGACAGCAAAAGTGTCAATTGGGTGTCTTAACACTACTCTGCAGTTCTAAGGTGGATTGAATGGTATTTCAATTTTCTATAAAATTCTCTAATGTTAATATTTTTATTTAATAATGTTTGGTCTCGATGAACTAAATAGAAAAAAAATAACCAGAATGATTTACATGTAAAAGTAGGCGGAACTCCAGAGCCACTCACGCTCATTATGTAATTACCAATAGTTCAAAAGTGTTTGCCAGATAAAATTTTAGCTTTGATGAACTCTTTAATAGTCTTAAAAACAATTCCTGATGAACTTTGCTTTGCCCTGTTTTAGACGGAAATGATGTCATGGCAGATTTGCTTTCGCTTTAAGCATATTTTGAAGTGGTGGACATTATTAACTTAGTATTTTTACTCACCAATAAAGGGTTTGATGATTCAAATGATCTGTTCAGAGTGAGTTTCAAGTAACGGATTCACTGATTCAAATGATCTGTTCAGAGTGAGTTTCAAGTAAAGGATTCACTGATTCAAATGATCTGTTCATAGTGAATCTGAAGTAAACCATTCAAGAATTCAAATAATCTGTTCAGAGTGAGTCTCCAGTAAATGATTCACTGATTGAAATGATCTATTCAGAGTGAGTCTCCACTAAACATTTCAGATTCAAATAATCTGTTCAGAGTAAATCACTAGTAAATGATTTACCGATTGAAAAAATCTGCTCACAGTGAGTTTCCAGTAAACCATTCATGAATTCAAATGATATGTTCAGAGTGTATGTAAAGGATTCACTGATTCAAATGATCGGTTCAGAGTGAGTCTATGGTAAAGGATTTATTTATTTAATTATTCTGTTCAGAGTGAGTCTACAGTAAAGGGTTCACTGAATCAAACTATCTTTTCAAAGTGAATCTCAAGTAAAGGATTCACTAATTCAAATGATCAGTTAGAGTGAATCTCCAGGAAATCATTCACTGATTCAAATGATCTGTTCAGGGTGAATCACCAGTAAACCATTCACTGATTTAAATGATCTGTTCAGAATGAGCCTCCAGTAAACCATTCACAGATTCAAATGATCTGTTCAGGGTGAATCTCAAGTAAATCATTTATTGATTCAAATGATCTGTTCAGAGTAAATCTACAGTAAAGGATTCACAGATTCAAATGATCTGTTCAGCGTGAATCTCAAGTATAGGATTTACTAATTCAAATGATCTGTTTAGAGTGAATATCAAGTAAAGGATTCACTGATTCAATTGATCTGTTTAGAGTGAGTCTCCATTAAAGGAGTCACGGATTCAAATGATCTGTACAAAGTGACTATCTAGTAAATGAGTCACTGATTCAAATTATCTGTTCAGAGTGAACCTCAAGTAAATGACTCACTGATTCAAATAATCTGTTCAAAGTGAATATACAGTAAATGACTTACTGATTCAAATGATCTGCTCAGAGTAAATCTCCAGTAAATGATTCACTGATTCAAATTATTTGTTCAGAGTAAATCCCCAGTAAATGATTCACTGTTCAAATGATCTGTTCAGAATAAATCTCCAGTAAAGGATTTGCTGAATCAAGGGATCTGTTCAGAGTGTGTCTCCAGTAACGGATTCACAGATTCAAATGATCTGCTCAGAGTAAATCTCCAGTAAATGATTCACTGATTCAAATTATTTGTTCAGAGTAAATCCCCAGTAAATGATTCACTGTTCAAATTATCTGTTCAGAGTAAATCTCCAGTAAAGGATTTGCGGATTCAAGGGATCTGTTCAGAGTGTGTCTCCAGTAACGGATTCACTGATTCAAATGATCTGTTCAGAGTAAATCTCCAGTAAAGGATTTGCGGATTCAAGGGATCTGTTCAGAGTGTGTCTCCAGTAACGGATTCACTGATTCAAATGATCTGTTCAGAGTAAATCTCCAGTAAAGGATTTGCGGATTCAAGGGATCTGTTCAGAGTGTGTCTCCAGTAACGGATTCACTGATTCAAAGGATCTGCTCAGAGTAAAACTCCAGTAAATGTTTCACTGATTCAAATTATTTGTTCAGAGTAAATCCCCAGTAAATGATTCACTGTTCAAATGATCTGTTCAGAATAAATCTCCAGTAAAGGATTTGCTGAATCAAGGGATCTTTTCAGAGTGAGTCTCCAGTAACGGATTCACAGATTCAAATGATCTGCTCAGTGTAAATCTCCAGTAAATGATTCACTGATTCAAATTATTTGTTCAGAGTAAATCCCCAGTAAATGATTCACTGTTCAAATTATCTGTTCAGAGTAAATCTCCAGTAAAGGATTTGCTGATTCAAGGAATCTGTTCAGAGTGTGTCTCCAGTAACGGATTCACTGATTCAAAAGATCTGTTCAGAGTAAATCTCCAGTAAAGGATTTGTTGATTTAAGGGATCTGTTCAGAGTGTGTCTCGAGTAACGGATTCACTGATTCAAATGATCTGCTCAGAGTAAAACTCCAGTAAATGATTCACTGATTCAAATTATTTGTTTACAGTAAATCCCCAGTAAATGATTCACTGTTCAAATGATCTGCTCAGAGAAAATCTCTAGTAAATGATTTACTGATTTAAGTAATCTGTTTGAAGTGAATATCAAGAAAATTCATAACTGAATCAATTAATTTGTTCTGATTGAGCCTCGCGTAAACCATTCACCAATTCAAATGATCTGTTCATAGTGAATCTCCAGTAAATTATTCACTGATTCAAATGATCCATTCAAAGTGATTCTGATGTATGAGGCTATCAGTACTTTTCCTCAAATGCCTATGTTGTGTACTTGGTCCAGCACTGACATTTTGAAGTAATTTTGATCTAAAAAATGGTTTGGTGTTGCTTCTGATCAACGTGTAAAAAACAAGCAAGAGTGTTTGGACTCACGCTGACGTCTGTGTATTCGTCAGTGCATTCGTCAGCGTTTCCGCTCCACCATGGTGACCTGCTGCCTCTGTGTTCCTGTTTTCTTCTAGTTTTGTATGCTACCAGTATCCTGGTTACCGTGGTTACCAGTACCTGATGGAGTGCGACTGCCACGGAGGCGAGTACAGGCACTACAGGGAGTACGGCTGCCACGCTCAGACCCCTCAGATCCAGTCTATCCGCAGGATCCAGCACTGAGAGGAACCAGCCCTCCTCCTTCCACCCTCCCTCCTCCTCCATCCCTCCGTTCCCAGCCATGCCAGATGGTTTTTGTTGACCAGGACGGCAGGCTGGTTTACTGGTGCTACAGCAATGTAACAAGTCCACAGCACTATTTTACCCACTACACGAGGAAAGAAAGACTAACTATTGACGGCAGGAAAAAAGCAGAAGAACAAGTCCTGTATGATTACAGCCGAAGGGACGTGGTGCAGTGAGAAGCCGGAGCGTTGCTCTTCTTTCGTCACGACTTGGTCATCATGATCGTAGCCATTGCAGTTTTCATGGTCAGCTTCTGTATGATATTTGATGAATAAAAACATGAGCATAAAAAACTAAAGGAACAAAAAAACTGAATATGAACCGACTGTGGTGTGTGGATCTTTCCTGACAAACTCTCACACGCATAAAATCATGAGGTCTAATGAATTGTCTAAAATTAAATATGAATTTAGAAGCAATAGTAATGTGTCAGATATTACATTAATATGCATTTGTGCGGATTATATCGACACCTCTAGTTACTATCTACTATAAACTACATACTAAGTAGGCCTCTGTAGTAATGCTGTGAAAATAATTCACTTTCAGACTATAAAATATAAAATTAGGACTCACCAAGTGTCAAGTGGGACTAAAAATTGTTGTTGGTGAGCATATGAAACAATGGTAAATTGTCATTTTTGCATTAAATAAAGACAAAAAATAAATAAAACAGAATTTCCGTATTTGAGACACATTCATAGGCAGAAACTCGTTTTACACATTGCCTAAGAATCTAATATGGCTTGGTGCAATCCCAATCAGGGACACAAAGACTGTGTTGTAGCTATATAAATACATAATCTGATGAAGACTGCACTGTGATCGTTTAATGAGAATATAAACTTAATTTTAGCAATGTAAAGTTACATTTATAAATAAGACATACAATTTTTTGTTTTATGCCAAAAAAATCTAAAGTATTATTAGTGTGGTTATTATTATTAAATACTAATTCTACTATTCCATAGTAAATGGATTTTTTCAACTAAAGTTATAAATACATTTTTAGCATTTGATAAATACTACTAGTACTACTACTACTACTACTAATAATAATAATAATAATAATAATAATAATAATAATAATAAAAATAGTAGTAGTAATAATTGCAATTGGACATATTTCTTCAAATGTGTTCTGCTTTATTTTTATTGAAATATTTTTCCAATAAGATTCTAAAGTTTATTAATTATCATGTCAAGCAAAGTGGACAGGGTTAACAAGTTTATAATTTTCATGTTAAATTTAATTAATTTATTTATTTATTTATTTATTTAATATTATTATTAATATTAATAATAATATTGTTAATAAATATATTAATAAATAAATAAATAAAAAATATATTATAAATATATAATATAATAAAAAATGTATATAATAAATATTAATATTAATATAATATTAGTATTAATTAATAATTTATTAAGAAATTAATTAATTAAAGTAATTAATTAATAGACAATAAAGCCTAATATACTTTTGTTTAGAATTTAAATATATTTATATAAATATGCAATCTTCTGAAGACTGCACTGTGATGGTTTGATGAAAGCCGCTCATAGCCACAGTGTTTCCACTGTGTTGAAACAATTTAAAGCAACTGATCCACATCAACTTAATTTAGCATAAGCAGTCACATTTGAAAATAATATGGCAAACATTTTTAAACTTTTTCTTTCAGCTTTATGCCAAAATAAAAACTATATTATTATTATTATCATCATTATTATTATTATTATTATTCATTCATTTTCTTTTCGGCTTAGTCTCTTTATTAATCAGTGGTTGCCACAATGGACTAAACCGCCAACATATCCAGTATATGTTTTACATATGCCAATTTAGCTTATCTAATTGCCCTTTCAGCCGCAACCCAACACTGGGAAACACCAATACACTCTTGCATTCACACACATAAACTACAGCCAATTTAGCTTTTTCAATTCACCTACATGTATAGCGCATGACGCATGTCTTTGGACTGTGGGGAAAGCAGAGCACTCGGAGGAAACCCACGCGAACACGAGGAGAACATGCAAACTCTTTTTAAGTTTCTACGGGAAGGGCATCCGCTGCATAAAAAAACATATGCTGGATAAGTTGGTGGTTCATTCTGCTATGGCGACCCTTGATTAATAAAGGGACTAAGCTGGAAAGAAAATGAATGAATGAATGATTATGAAGCCAAGTATTCTATTATGCCTAGTCAAGTTTTATTTCGAATTAAATATATTTACAAATCAATAATTAATTACATTTCTTTAACATTTAACATGTGCCAGAATAGTTGGTAGTTCAGTTTGCTGTGGCGACCCCGGATGGATAATGGGCTTAGCCAAAGGAAGATTAATGAATATTATGCTTAACTTTTATTTTAGTTTAACTGCTTTTGTTAAATAGATTTAAAAAATAATATTAAACTGTCTTTTATATTTTAGATGTTGGGTCTTTATTTATTTATGCATGCATACACAACACGTTTAAGGTTTAAACGTTAAAAAACACCTCCAGATACACAGAAAAAAATTATGTCTGCAAAATTGTTGCAAACGATTGAAGTGTTGAATTGAAACAAATTAAATTTAGTAATGTTCAACTTAATTTGTTTGTTTAAATTCAGCTCATATAAATTGTTTACAGCCACTTAAAACATGTTAGTAAATACAAGAAATCATATTTGAATATTTTTTTTCAGTGTAATGCTGACAATTTCAAACAGAATCATTTTACATGATGTCTGTCTTCCACTCAAATTATTGTGAATTGTTCTACATTTATTGAGACCAGAGATGTTTAAGCTATGTAAATGAGCTGACCAAACATGAGAGTCTAATTTTAAAGATAGAGTTTAGTTGTTTAGCATTTGTTTGAAAAGTTAAACACCCCTCAAACACCCCTCAAACGATAATGGTTTAACCCATCCTGTAGGTTTGACCAATTTTGATGATGCCCAGCCAAGTGAAATCTATTAGTAGGCCTATCCCTAATTTCCACCTGAACTGTTTGACCTTCCCACTAACCGACCGAGAGATGCCAAAATTGTGAAGGCTAAACAAATGAACAGCAAGGGATAAAACGACAAACAAACAAAAAATATTTTAAATAATCTGTTCGTAAACACGCAATGTATATTCTGTGGCTCATTGTGCCGCATATTTTAACACTTCCGCTCCAAATACTTGCTTTGAGACGCACAAACAAAGTAAACGAAGAAACATATAGAGGGTATTACAACTACGCCGAAATGACTGATCGTTTAAAAGGGTTTTCTCGGAAATTTCCCCGTATTTGTAGCCTGGCGAGCATCGGCCAGTCTGTCGAGGACAGAGAGCTTTGGGTCATGAGAATCACATCCAATCCCACGCAAGACGTACCGGGCAAACCGAAGGTGAAGTACGTGGGCAACATCCACGGGGACGAGGCGTTGTCTCGTCAGGTGCTGGTTTACCTTGTGGAGTACCTGCTGACCCGGTATGGCCGTGATGTGAGGGTGACGGAGCTGGTAGACCGGACTGACATCTACATTTTGGCCAGTATGAACCCGGACGGCTTTGAGAGGGCGCTGGAGGGAGAATGCTCTGGCACCACTGAGGCCCGAGACAATGCCAAAAACTATGACCTTAACAAGAGCTTCCCAGTCCAGGACGAGCCCTCCAGTGAGACTGCAGGAGACATACCGGAGGTCATGGCTGTCATCAGGTGGATTCAGGAGAGAAAGTATGTTGGATGTTTTTAATTGCTTGTTTTCTGTTATTCCTCCGTTATTTACTCAAGTACTTCCAGACCGCGGTAAAGTTAGTTTTACTTTCGACATTCATTAGACATTCGATTTTCAAATCAATTAAAATCTTTGTTCCTGTTATACTTTGGGCCAAAAATAGGTCAGATAGGCATAAATATGTGCCCTTTATGTTGCACAAGGCTTAATTTCTCGATTAAAAAAAAAATACCATAAAAATGAATTAAACAATTCAACCATATGAAATTATACAATAAAACTAGCACCAGAATATTCAGAAAAACATCCTGCATATTGCACAAGACTCGGTTTTTTTAATTAGCACTCTATTTATTTCATAATATTTTTAAATATCTTTTAATGTAAAAATTGCAAAATTCAATTAAACTCTGACACCATTTGAAATAAAATATTCAAATCAACTGTACAATTGTCTAAATATTATTCTCTATGATGCACAAGCTTTGTTTTTTACAGTTTTGCCTTTGTTGATTTTATATACAGTATTGAATCCATATTTCCAGTCAGTCAAAGCTTTGTTAAAGGGAAAGTTTACCTCAAATAAAAATTTACTCACCCTCAAGTAATTACACCCTTTTATGAGTTCCGTTTTTCTGGTGAACAAAATATAAGATTTTGAAGAATGATGACTTTCATAGTAATGTTGTTTGTTTTTTCAGACTATGGCAGTCAATAGGGGCAGTCAAAAAGTTTTCAGCTTTCTTCAAAATGTATTATTTTGTGTTAAACAGATGAAAGAAACTCACAAAGGCTTGAAACGGTGGTGAGTAGATGTTGACAGAACTAATATTTTTTTCGCTGTCTCTTTAAACGGAAAGCATTTACATTTATTCATTTGGTGACGCTTTTTTTTCAAAACAATATACAAATGAGAATAAAATAATCACTTTAAATTACCAGAGAGCAGCAAGGTAGTAGACTCAAGGTAACTTAGCAGTGACAAGGTAATTTAGCAGTTTTTTAATACATAGACATGCATGCATACATAAACACACATACACACTTGGCATAAGCTGGGATTCTGACAGTATGATAACCTTTGATAAAAATATTATGGTTTCACAGTATCACGGTATTTATTGCTTTAATATTTTCTTTTTAAATGTCTGGGTAAAAAACAAAAAAAGTCACCTTTTAATACAATATGTTTAATTTTTGGAAAGATTTGTGATATTTTGGAGCAGTAAACATGTCAGGCTGAATAATTCGAATGAATTAATTACTTCTGCTGTCTCCATTTGTTTAAAAAAAACACACACATTTCTTTACAATTTAAACAGCACCTTTTGGTATTATTATGCTTTAGAAACTGTTGTTCTAAAAAAAAACTAAAATAAAATCCAAATAAAAAATCTTACACATACATTAAGAAAGGTATTACGAAAAAAATTAGCAGTTTTAAAACCTTGACTTTTACAAACCGCGGTATAGCTTAAAAACCTTATCAACCTATGTCTTTATACACACGCACATATTCACACAGAGGGAAGATTTTGTCTCATACAGGTGATTTGCTAAGCCCACTCACTGGCGTGAAGCACAC